TTATTTATTTTAGAGCGTGAGTGCATGAGTGGGGGTGGGACAGAGGGAGGAGGAGGGAACCCCAAGCAGACGCCCCACTGAACACGGAGCCTGACCCCCATGGCTCTCACGGCCCTGACATCATAACCTGAGCCAAAACCAAGAGCCAGGTCTTAACCAGCTGAGCCACCCGGGCGCCCCGGAGACTGATTTTATAGGGTTGATGTGTACCCGCCTACTACCGTCAATTTGTGTTGCTTTTATGCAAAGCAGAATGGATACTTCTCAATGTTTTGCGATAATGTTTATACCAATTAGTTTTAATGCTACTTGGTTGATCTTGTTGGTATTTCATGACTTTAACACCTTCCAGCTGCGTGTTTTATCATGAAGAATCAGAATCTCACTTTTGAGAACTGTGAAATAAAGAACAGCGACATTAATTTTCTCATACATATTGAAAAGATTCAACAAATGGTCCAGATAAAGGGCTTAGTTCAGAATATCAAGCACCTAAAGTGAACTCAATAAATATAAGACTCGAAATTGAGTGACTTGCCAAAGATAGGAACATCCTGTGTAGTATCCCTCGTGTATATTATCAGATTGCCCAAAATTTCATATCAATACAACTTGATAGGAAGCAAAGAATGGTGTCAATTTTACCCTTAGCTATTTTCCTTAAAAAAAAAAAAAAAAAAGACTTTATTTATTTATTTGAGAGAGAGTGTGAGCGAGAGAGAAACACAAGCAGGAGAGGGAGGGGTTGGCCGAGGGAGAGGGAGAAGCAGGCTCCCGCTGAGCAGGAGCCTCCTGGGGCTCATCCCAGGACGCCGGGATCATGACCTGTGCCCAAGGCAGACCCTTAACCACTGAGCCACCCCAGGCACCCCTATTTTACTTTGCTAAAAAATGTAATTTAAAACTAAGTATTTCACCATGGTTTTAATTTCAGTGCCTGATAACAAGAGACATTAAACCTTTGCCTGTGTTTAGGATTTCATTCTGAAATTCATTCTTGTTTAAATTGTCACTTACTATCTTTTCCACCAATTTCTTGGTATATTATTCTGAAAAATGTGAATCAAATAAGTATAGATGACCTCCTTTTGCTATGTTGCAATTTCATTTATCATCTTGCTTTTTATTTTGAATTTTATTTTTATAGGTTTATTTTGAAAAACATTTTTTTGTGTAGGTCGTTGGTTTATTGTAAAATTTATTTTATTTCAGTAATATACTTTTGGTTTAGTTGAGATAATATAGTGTTTGACATAATACAGCATTCTTATTCTGCTAATTTGTCCATTATTTTATACTTTCAAACATTTTAATTGATTAATATTTTTTTTCTATTAGGTTGTTTCTAAGTGATTTTTTTTCAAATTTTCCTTATCCCAATGACTTTGTTAATATATTCTTCTCCCATCACTGATGATGTTCATTTTATCAAATACTGAATCCTTCTAAGAATTTGGGTCCTCATAACACCCTGCTCTATGAGGAAAAAGGCTCCCATTTCTACATAGCAAAGTCTTTATCATTAAGTGATATTTTATAGGAAGACAATTTTTTTAATTTTTATTTATTTATGATAGTCACACAGAGAGAGAGAGAGAGGCAGAGACACAGGCAGAGGGAGAAGCAGGCTCCATGCACCGGGAGCCCGACGTGGGATTCTCGATCCCGGGTCTCCAAGATCGTGCCCTGGGCCAAAGGCAGGTGCCAAACCGCTGCGCCACCCAGGGATCCCTATAGGAAGACAATTTAACAAATCTTTTGCAGCCAAAGTGGTAGTTCGCAACTGACATGATTTCCAAAATTAATGAATTAAACAAATTTTCCAAGGCCAAATGTGCTTTGAAAGATATCTATTCAGTTGTTTTATATATAACTATTCTACTGATAGATTTTTAAAATCTAAATTAAAACATTATTTTTAAAAGCATTTGGCAATCTAATATGGTCATTATGTTACCCTTCCTCAAATGCTTTTACATGTATAGATGGGTAAAATGTTACAGTTCAGAAAACATTTTCCTTACAGAAACAGGACAGAAAATAAAGATTTAAAATAGGGCAGCCCTGGTGGCCCAGCGGTTTAGCGCCGCCTTCAGCCCAGGGTGGGATCCTGGGGTCCTCAGATCGAGTCCCACATCGGACTCCCTGTGAGGAGCCTGCTTCTCCCTCTGCCTGTGTCTCTGCCTCTCTCTGTGTCTCTCATGAATAAATAAATAAAATCTTTAAAAAAATAGTTAAAATATTCTGTTGGAGAAATGTTTGAAGCATCCTTATAATTGCTTTTAAATATTTACGCCACACACAAATGTTTTTACCACTCTATAAAGACAGTTTTCTGTGATTAAGTTTTTTATCCAGTGAGTAGCATGAAATATTTTTTACTTTAAGTGCTTAATTCCCCAAGATTTCAATCAGATTATCTAAACAGCATTTCATAACATTTTATATGAAATCTTGCATTAAGAAATCATAATATATCCTGCATGTACTTAGCCCGACGTAATTTTAACTGTAATACATTTCAAAATGTTCTATGGGTATTAAAATATCTATCCAAGAAAACACAATGGTGATTGTAGGTTTAGGAGACGCAAGTATATTTATCGCTCTCTGTCAATTTCTTTTATTTTTTCTCCTTATTTCCATTTTATATTCTTGTTTGTCTTCCTGTATCATCTACTCCAGTCTCCAACAGAGTTGCCATAAAATAGTACCACTTATACACTCTTGTAATAGGCCCCCCAGTTCTCCCTGGAAATAGCAGACATGATACTCACTCATTAGCCCATTGGAGTCTGGTCCTCACCTGAAGTCCTAGAAAAATCCACATACTTTACGTCTAAGCTTTCAGGCTCATTGCATCAAAATGAGATGTGGAAGTGACAGTGGAGGTTAGTGAGTTCAACCACTCTCCTGTTCGATGGGAGCGGGAGGCATCACTTAGAGGGAAGTTCGGGTGACCAGGGCTTCTATCGGCTCGTAGGCACCAACTCCGCTCTATCAGCTGTTGAAATATTAAATATTGAAATGTGTAATGTTAAATAATATTAATATTATTTAATATTAAAATATTAAATATCAGCTATTAAAATACCCCCCCCCAGGCCGTCAGTGGACATCCACTCTCTGCAGCCCCTGGAGCAGCCATGTCACTCCAGCTTCGCAGGCACTTTCTGCAGGTCATCAGATTTTCCAATAGTCAAACAACTAGAGGGATAAAGGCACAGAGGGGGGCTCCAGAGCCTGCTGTAGAGCTGCTGCTGATGCCCATTGTTGCTGGTTGGGGCCTGCCTGTGGGTGCTCTTGTCAGACAGGTGCAGTATCACCTCTACTTGGTAAATGCTGCCGAGGAACTTTCCCAGAAGAAATCAGTGCACTTCTTGTTCTATTTGCTCTTGTTCTATATTCCTATTATGATATGTGTGTGTGTATATATATATTATATATATATTTATTTTTAACAAATATATTTATTTATTTCTATATGTATATATAATATATTTTTAACGAATATATTTATTTCTATATTTACATGAAGTGTATATATTTATATATATAAATACATATATATATAAATACACCTGTTTGAAAGTCTTTTAGATCATAAGCCATGCTTTACTGTTTAGGATACCATTTCAAAAATCCTGTGTGATTTGATATGAGCTTTTCTCCCCTCTTTATCACTTTGGAAGGGGAGCTGTTTGCCACTGAGCTGAATTGCAAAGCATCTAGGGAGTCTCAACTCTCAGAGTTGAATTAATTAGTCAGTCACAACACTGGATTTGATAAATTTTAAGTCCTCTCATTTATGATATTTTAACTTTTATATAACAGTGTTGTAACTCTTGTGCTTTGCATTCTATCGAGGTGACTTTCACAGCATATGATATAATGTGAGAAATAAAACCAATGTATTAAGTAGAATTATACCATGGGTGTTAATGATCATGCCTGTGTGTATAATACGTTGAGATATGAGAATACTATATTACTATAGAGGTGCCAGTATGTGTGAGTGAACAATATGTTCGCATACACAGTTGTTTTATTAATGGCCAAGTGTGAATATCTGTCTGCCCCAATCTTGTCCAACCACACAAGGTGCTAAAGTTGAATTTCCCCAACTTGGTGACAGGCTGGCTTCATACATCACTCCTATTACGGCACCAACACCTGTCAATGTTAAATATGCTCTTAGGGCAGAAATTATATAATAGGAAAAAAAGGAAGGAGGGAGGGGGAAAGGAAGGAAACCCATAGACATGTCTTAAAATAAGTATTTTGCAAACACTTATTTACCCTATGTTACAAAACTTTACAAGATCTATTTCTCTTCAAACCGACATTTTAATGGTAATTTATATCTTAAATGCATTTTGTCATTACTCACCTTTTCCTTGCCACCTTCTAAGTTATTCCTCTATAAGTTTTCAAGCAACGATTTCTGACTCAGAAGGCTCTCATGAATTGGTGTGTCTTTGTTATCACGTTAGTCAAGAACTTATCTGAAATTCGAAACCAAATACACATTCCAAACTCCACGAAGAAAAGAAATTACGGTGATGACTACTTTTAAGAGCGTGGTGTTTTCAAAGCCTGGTATCAGTGAATTAACAAAGCATGGCTACGTACTGTTAAATCTCAAGATGTTTCTGAATTTCCATCTTGAAGGATTCAGAAAACATCTTTGAAACCCGTGTGCGGCTGTCTGTGACTGTCAGGTGTATGACAGTGCACATCCCAGGAGTTAGGAAAGCCATGATTTCTCTCTCTCCTATCATGAGAATTCAGTTAATAATGCAAAGTTAAGTGTTGAGATTTTTGTCAGCCTTTCCATAGAACTAATTAATAAACCAGGAGAAACCTGTTGTCACCTTGAGTTACCAATTCGGGGCTGGGAAGGGAGTGGTCCTGGGCCTGGGGGAGTGGGGTACGTCGTAGGGGCGCCTGGATCTGAGCCTGTCTGGAAACCTGATTGCCTTTTGTTCTGCCCCTGCCAGCGGAGGGAGCCTGCGGAGGTACCCTGAGGGGGACCAGCAGCACCATCTCCAGTCCGCACTTCCCCTCCGAGTACGGGAACAACGCCGACTGCACCTGGACCATCCTGGCCGAGCCCGGCGACACCATCGCCTTGGTCTTCACCGACTTCCAGCTAGAAGAAGGGTACGACTTCTTAGAGATCAGTGGGACAGAAGCCCCATCCATATGGTAAGTTCTGGGGGGACATGCGTTGACCCCAGATCCACCAACAGGCTTTGGACAATGGCCTTCTTTGCATGGTCGTTGGCACACGGAAGTGTTCTTTCTTTGCTTGGCTGTTTTGCCCACTAACAAGGTCGTGTATGTTGTGACTGGCTCCAAAGCCTCCGGGGTGTCTTTGTGCTGGTATCTGGAGTTGGGGAAGTGGTCTGCGCCTGGGCACTGGCACCTCACATGCCCTCATTTCGGACTCTTATGAAGCATCGGAAGACGGTAACTAAGCCAGCTAAGTTAGCCTTTGGATTTGTGCTGGAGCTGATTCCATGGAAGCAGATATTTTTAGACTGGCCATTTTCAAATGTCATGTTACCAGTCATTTATCTACAGTGCTGCAGATGCACGATAGCATATTTATTTTCCTTCCTGATGATCCTGCACCTATGAAGGTCACAGGCAAACTATAAATACTAATCCAACGTAGATGTAAAGTTAGTGGACTGAGGATCAATTCTGTGGCTTGTGTGCTCATGGAGGCAGAAGGAAACCAGGTCTAAATTGCAGTGGATTTTGGTCTATGTATTGGTTGCAAGGACAGCAATTGTGTCTATAAGTGCAATCCAAGAGGGAGAATTCAAGTAGATGTTGAGGATTTTACATCTCAAATTAAGTCATCTGTTGTGAGTTGGACTGGATTTTGTTTTAATTATTTCACTTCTTAATTTTTTTTTAAAATCCTATTAATTCTCTATTTTAGACCTTGAGTGGTAAACCAACCTGAATGCATGTATATTGAAATTAGGGCGTAAGTCAGAGGAGATGTTGGCCATTTATGCGGGTAGAGGAGAATATGAAATGAGTGACTGAATGTTTCAATGTGTTTAAGTTTGCATTTTGGGGTAAGGACTAAAGGATAAAAATACCCACCCTGAAACATGCTGTAAAATTAGACCACCTCTTTTAAGCCAATTATTGCAATGGAAATTTATTTTATTTTCTGAGGCTTAAGACACAAAGCAGAGGATTCATACTAACACGTTAAATTCTTTTCCTTACTTTCGTCCTGCTGTGGTTATATTAGAAGTTACTTCAATTAAGAGAAAAACAGCCATGGCCTCTCTGATATTTGCTTTATATTTGATTGATCTTGAACAATACTCTTAGACTGAGCAAGTTTACCTGTTTATTTTGTGTTACGCAATTTTAAGCACCCAAGAATTTGTTGATAATGTCGGTCTCACTCTCTGTAACATCAGTGTTAGAAACAAGTTGCGAACATAAAGCTGTGCATCCTGGGCTCTCCGCCAAGTACTGCCTTGTGACCTTGGACAAATAACATACTGGTGTATATAAGATAGGGGAGCTCCTAAGTCAACTTTTAAGTTGACTCATTAAATATCTATTGAGTGCATATTCTCCCTCAATCATCCTGAGAGTCAGGGATGTCACACCGCTAGCCTTAAAATTGCACTGTTTTGGTTTTCAGAAATTCATTACAATATAAAATATATGGTGAGTCATTCTCAGACACTATATGATTAAGGGTAAGGGCCTTATTTATGAGAGATTCCAGAGATCGTGGACACTGACCAACCGTCTTGCTGCTAAATGTCAGGCTGGCAAAGAGAGGGACAGAGAGAGGCATCTTTGACAGTGACTTTAGAACCACGGTCAGGACAGCTTTTGCCAAACAGACTTAGTTTATGTAAGAGAGGAAACATGGAGGTGCAGATGTCCATGTCAAAGTCTGAAACAAAAATAGGGCACGTGAAATCAGAATGAGACATAACCCTCCAAAAGGGCTTGTGGCTCCTACGAGCGCATTGTGACTGACCACTGAGACGCCAAATCTCAGTTATTTCATTTCTTTTCTTAAAAGATGGTAAGCAGGAGCTGGAGGATGTTTTTTGACTTGTTGCCCATTTCTTCTTTGCTTATCACTGTTGATTTCTCTCATACCCTCTCCCCCTCCCTGCCTAATCTCTATCTGTATGTTCTGCTGGTCCATGTCCCCAGCTACTTCAGTATGACTCAGAAAAACGGTGTGAGGATGGGGTCGCGGGTGAGCTAAAAGTGCATTCCATCTGAAAGGTCAGGTGGGGCCACTGATGGCAACAATTCCTAACAGTTGTCAGAATGAGAACTGACATGGTAGCCAGGAGATTGGCCCATCTTCCTGATGGCTGGGTTCAGGCTAGAGGACATTTTCCAGCTCTGAAATATATCTAGGTATTTGCCAGGGCACCAAGATTGAGGATCTGTGAACAGCCTGGGGAGAAAAAGAAAATGGCAGTCCTTGGGAAAGTTCTTGGTGGGAAAGTTGACCTAGTCTCGTGTTCCTTCTGGTCCAACAAAAGAGGTGGCCCATTGGCTCAACATGCTCTTTCTCTCAGTGGCTATTTTTAGAGAGTTGTGTTCAGGACTGTATTCATATGATGATTTGTATTGTCCCAGTGGCTTGGCACAAAAGTCCTGGGCGGGGGGGGGGGGGGCTTGGTCGTATTATCTAGTTTTTATTGATGAAGAAGCTGAGAGCAAAGCGCACAGGGCACATGGCAGAGAACTCAAGCTCAAGGTCTCTGACTTCAAACTACCTTTCCTCTTCACTCCACTGCCATCCCCGCCATAGGACAGTCTAGGTCCGGACTTAATGCGCTGTGGAGAAAGGACCTTTTCTCTACTACTGTAGGTTGGATCCAAGAGCCTTGAACAGGCTGCTGAAACAGGGGATAAGAACCAACTGAGAACAATTTCACACTCATGCTGCATCAATAGAGACTCAGAGTACACAGAGCTTTTTGGGGTGACATTTAGCATTGATCATAATTATAAGAGAACTATCTTGACATGGCCGTGGGACTGCTTTTAAATGAAACTCTCATCTTTCAATTACTCTTCAGTGGAGGCTACAAAGGAGCACGTGATTTCCTTAAATCACTATTGAAACACACACGAGTTCATTTATAATACAAAGGAGTCACTTGAAGTACCCTTCTTAGATTTATACAAATGCATACTGTGGCTTATCTTAAAAAGACTATTATTTTCCTGTAATTTTAGACTGACAGTCCCTGAAATGTTTAATGGTTCAAATTGGCATATTTAAGAGATTTATTATCCCTCCACTTCAAGGAAGATCCTAAGGACAGAGCAGGTGTGTGTGCCCCCCTCGAGCACAAGGTCAGGAAACAGTGACCGTTAGTGTGGAAGGCTGGACGTGCAGTGCAAAAACATATAATTTTCCAATAATCTATTTTTAAAAGACAGAAAATACAAGCAAGGGCACTCTCAGAAGAAGCTACTTGGAAAATTGTTAAGAACAATAATAGGATTAGGCTTATTTTCATTGAATTTGGAGTGAAATTACCAACTCAGCTATGTTTTATGTAAGGGTTGCCATGGCGACAGTGGAGCAGTCTAAATGTGGTGAATGATGTAATGTGCCGAAATTATCCATATATTAAATGTGGAGGGGTGTGCAATTTAAACCCAATCCACTATGCATACGTTAGATAAGGCTTATTTATTTATTTAATTAAATATTATTATTATTTTTTTTACTAGTCAGATTCTAATTTCATACAGGCTGGCTTCCTGTCAATACTCTACTTTAACAGAGAGCTGCCATTTTTAATTCTCTTTGTAACATGGTCTAGCAATTATGATTTTTCTTGCAATTAAAAACATGGTTAGCAGTGAGGCTAGCCAACTAGTCTTCCTTTCTGAAGCGATTTGGTGGCATAGCTTGTAGATCATAACTAGAAATACCAAGAAGAAAGAAAATTGATTTTATTTCAGAGTTAACCTATGGTGGTTTCTAAATTAAGACGTGGCGGTAAAAGGGACTAGAAACAGAAAGTCTCGACAGGAGACAACTAATGGAGCATTTTCTTTCTTTCTTTCTTTCTTTCTTTCTTTCTTTCTTTCTTTCTTTCTTTCTTTCTTTCATTTACTATCTTTCAAATACACCCTCATATAATGGGAATAATTTATGCATTCCCGTCTATGCAGGTAGCATGTATGGTAGGGTAGAGAAGGTAAGGAAATAAAGAACAGTAAATGCATTTAAGAAGCATCCCAAAGCATAGACGCATCTGTTCCTCCATAATCTTCAATGACAGAGCCTCAGGCCATCAAAATGACACCCAGATGCCTCAGTGTGCCTTTCAAGGCTTGCCATAGCATGTGCGGCCTGCCCTCCATCCTGCCACACCCCACCCCAGAATCCTTCAGTTTTGCCTCCCTGAACACATCCCTGCCTTCACTTAAGCACATATTTGCATCCCTTGGACATGTGTTCAGATACATGCCTCTGCACAGAAATCCCACACCAACCAATTGAACGGACAGTCAATGAACCCAAGGCTTATGGCGCTGTGCAGATGCGGCCCACTTAAGAGGTCCTACAAGTGCCAGAGTTTGTCCGAACTCCTGCCCTGGAAAATGCCAGTGGTAATCAATGCAAGGGGGTCTCTGGGCTGCTTTGGCTTAGACCCGCCTCATTCTATCAATACAACATGTTATTTTATGATTTTTTAAAGGTCTCAGCTCAATTATTCACTAACCAGTAGAACTCTACCGCTTTGTCTCTCTGATTTGCACAAGATTACATTGGAGGGAACCAAAGAAAAAGAAAAGTTTTGTAACTGCACTTTATTTTGTTCCCATTAACGAATCATAATCTCACTATTAAATCAATCTAATCAGTGACTTGCTGGAGCCAAAACAAAACTTCAAAGAAATCGGAGAAGCTGAGTGAGCTTCAAAGAACCCTTGAAGGGTCAATTAACACCTACAATGTTTATCCAACTTGTCACTTAATTGAGAAGTAACTTGGTGCATATTTTATTTCTAATGAGGAAGGATTATGGAGGCACACAGAGTGACAGACGCCCCGGAAGGAGCCCATCCGCATCCCTGCCCACGGGAGAAGGAAAGGGAAGACCTTCTTTCCCTCTCTCCTTATTTCATTTCTTCACTGTTCATTTTGAAATCATTTTTCAAAGAATTTG